GGGCGCGGGCGGCGGCGCGGGCGGCGCGGCCGACGTGCGCGCGCTGGCCTTCAGCGTCTTCAGCGGGGCGCGCCGTCTGCTGCAGCACCACGCCAACGGGAAGTCGCTCACGGGCTTCGGCACCGCCGCCGACGCCAACCTCTTCCTGCAAGGCAAAGACGTCAGTACCAACATTGTCGATACTATCTTACAGTACTTGCTGTGTCAAGTTCACATCTTGAACTATTATTTGTGTGACACTTCTCAATGAAAATGTCTATTATTTGTGTGACACTTCTCAATGAAAATGTCATTATCATACAGGAAAAAAATCGCGAGCCATACAAGTTATTCTCCCCGGCGTGGGTATTGGCGGCGCCGCGCGCGCTGAAGGAGGTGGCGGAGACATGGGGCCAGGGCGGCGGCGAGCAGGGCGGGGTGCTGTTCCTGGCGTACTGCCTGAGCCACGACCAGCGCTGGCTGCTGGCCGCGGCCACGGACGCGCGCGGCGAGCTGCTCGACACCGCCGCCATCAACATACACGTGCCGCACAGGTACACGCCACGCTCTGACATACGCTCACAAGGGATCTGCTACCAACGTTAATAGCCAGTCTACGGTTTACTAACGACGTTATAGTCGTGGCAAAATCACGGGAAGATAGGCACAATGCATTGTCGCGATGACCTCTGTCAAAAAAAAAAGCAGATGGGTGCGGTTGGATGCAGGTTGCTTCAGGTCTATCCCCAATTGGGGGAAGCCTATGTTCAGAAGTGGACATCTTGTGGCTGTGATGATAATAATAATGAATTAAACTATTGTAATATTCTAATACAAAAACTCCCAAGTTACAACATTGGTGTGTGTTACCTCTAATTAATGGTATCAGTTCAAACTCGTCCAGGTCACGTCGACGGCGGAGTGGTCCGGCGCGGCGGCTGGGGCTGACCAAGCTGATGGACTTCACGCTCGGAGTCATGAGCCAGGCCGCGCAGCCATGGCGACTAGTCGTCGGCAGGGTCGGCCGCATCGGACATGGAGAACTCAAGGGTACGATTTTTAACCATTATTTAGCATATTCAAGTGATATTATATTCAAAGAATGATAAATAATAAGTCTATACGATTTAACTATAGTAAATAGCCATTTCAGATTATTTTGTTATCTAAGTTTCAGTGTACCTAGTAAAATATTACGACTTAATTACATGTATCCCATTCCTCATCTAACTATAGGCAAAACAGTTACATTGTGCGTGCAAGTAGACACTTTAACAATATTTGTAAGGAATATGATGACTTTGATCCTTTTATTACTAGTGTGAATATGGTGCTTAAGCCTCAAATTTTTCAAGCAGCAATAGATATTAGACAAAAATAATAAGTGGTAAAACAGATTGTCTGCATGGTGTCTATATTTTTGTGTTCTCTTTTGTTTATTTATTTATCCGGTACTCATACCATATTAATTTAGGCCCATAATTCTAAACGCCTGTGAGGCCTGTGCTTATTATTATTCTCGATAATTTTTTAATATCTGTAAGTGTTCCATGTTCAATAAATAAATAAATTGGTGGTCTTGGCGCGCAGGTTGGAGCTGGCTCCTGTCCCGCAAGCACCTGGTGCGCGCGTCGGCCACGCTGCGCGAGATATGCGGCAGCTGCACCGTGCTGTACCCGGGCGGCGTGCCCTGCATCCTGTCGGCCTGCCTCGTGTCCACGGAGCCCGACTCCTGCCTGCGCCTCATGGCCGACCGCTTCACGCCCGACGAGCGCTTCTCGCAGGCCTCCATCCAGTCGCACCTGCACACGCCGCGCGACGTCACCGCCACGCACATACTCGTCTTCCCCACCTCCGCCACCACGCAGGTACACGACAAACAAACTTCAAATTACTCTTTATTTTGTTACACACAATTTTATTTATATTTCATTTATACTAACTTGTGCGTTTTTTATACTATGTAGTCAAACCAGATGCCTTTCGAGCCACCCATGGCAAACGGCGAGGACAGCGATATGATGTTCTTAAACGTGGACATGGGTGATGAGGATATGGGGGAAGACAACATGACGGACCTGTTGATCGGCGACATGTTCAACAACATGTGGGCCGCCGGCAGTCCGCGGCGCACCGACGACGACCCCGCCGGCAGCCCGCAGGCACATCATCATCACCAAGCTGCCTTCCATCACCAGGACGACAACACCACGGTAAGACTAGCACCGGCGCGCTGTGTGCATGACGTGGCCCCCGCGCGGTAGTGACGAGCCGGTCGGTTGCAGGAGGCGGTGGGCGCGCTGCTGCAGCAGCCGCTGGCGCTGGGCTACATGGTGTCGACGGCGCCGCTGGGCGCCATGCCGGCGTGGTGGTGGGCGGGCTGCGCGCACCTGCGCGACGCCTGCCCCGCCTTCCTCAAGACGGCGCTGCACCTGCACGCCGGCTCGCTGCAGGCCGCCGACGACTACACGTCGCTCACGCAGCGCCGCGACCACAACACGCACCCGCTGGACTCGCAGACCACCACCGACGTGCTCAGGTACGCCCGCGCCGGCCTGCCGTGGTCTGCGCCAGCTGTACGAGTACTCACCGCGCCCTGTTACAGATACGTGCTGGAGGGCTACAACGCGCTGTCGTGGCTGGCGCTGGACGGCAGCACGCACGACCGCCTGTCGTGCCTGCCGCTGCACGTGCAGGTGCTGATGCAGCTGTACCATACCGCGGCGGCGCTGGGCTAGGCCGGCACTGGCCGGCACAGACCGGCACTGCGCGCAGGCTACATGTGTTCCTCGTACAGCGCCGACGTGCAGTGCGGTGTTATTGTGTCGTGATTGTGATGAAACTCAAAATCCTCAGTGACAAGTGTAGTGATTGTGAAGCAACGGATCTGAATGAAAACTGGAATTACTTAAAATAATATAGTATTGTGCAGGAAGCCTTAAAAATAATTCTGTCAAACCAATTATAGATTGCACATGTTAAAAAGGCACTACATGTTTCATACCGATGTGATATGATCATGCCTGACTAAATACTAGTTATTCAAGTAAATTGTTGGAGTTGGTATTGGAATGGTATTTGTAGTGGGCAAATGGGTAATATTTATTGTATAAAAGACATCATTGAAAACTATAACACTTGACATAATATATCTTATAAAATAAGCAAGCAAGTGCTAATTTATTTTTAATTTTTCTTAATTATTTAAAGAAACAACGCTCCACACTAAGATTTTCTTATGCGTCATGTCGTAATAAAATATTTTAAAAAACATTATTATAATAAATTGACGTGCATGTCTGTCTCAGACATGTTAAAAGCTGCAAATAAATCAATATCTTACTATGATTATGTATTGTAATACTACCCATCTGCTACTACATGTTAAGTAAGGTAAATGACTAAAAGGCAGCGTATATGTAGACTTGTAGTTGATGACAGTACTTAGATAAATTAACTAGTAGGGAGTGTAAGTCAAGGGCCTCGTTACGGTATGTTATTGTTGTCAAGTGTTGGTGTGTCGCCTACATCTTGTAGGGGACCGTGTTAATGTGGGGTATCTACTATGTTTAGTTACAATACACAGAAGTAACATGTTTTATCAATAATTTCACCTTATTCTCTCATACTTCTTATTTATTAACATTATTCTAAAAAAGCTCTTATATGCTTATCTAAAGCAAATATGAGGTAGGACAAAATCTTGATTTTATTTTATTACACTTAAACTTATTGTTAGAACAAGTTACTGAACTAATATGTGTTCCTTCCTAAACAAAGTAAATATTTCCACGAACAGAGTTCTAAAATGAAATATCAAAAGTGTTATAAATTAATTACTAGGAAAATTTTTAAAAGCAAGCTAGTTAAGCCGGGAATTAGAATTTATAAGTTCGATCACAAAATATGGTCCAATTTGGCATGTAAACAGTTTTACATATTGTATACATTTATGTATCATTCATTCTCGTCAAAAGGCATTTTATTCTTATTTTATTTATCACCAAAAAAAGCGAATAGTTGAATATTTTAAAAAACTTGTTGACTTTGGCCAACGATTGCCAGACACTTACAAGTAAACCAAAAAAAAAAAAACCAGTGTCAACTTTCACTTACGCAATTTGTGCAATTAAACATTTTATGTTATTTATTTTCAATCAGTTTTAATATTTCTAGTGGTTTATATCACATATTTAATATGTGCAACATTGAATAAGTATTTAATTTACAGTTTTCCAAGTAAACAGAAAACTTCCAAGCAGTCTTGTCGGTATTAAAATACATACTTCCTGATCTCTCATTCCAGAATCGAAAGTGAACCTCATTTTATATAGCTTACGTTTTAATAAAGCAGCCACAGTCAAACAGCATCTTGAAAATAATAATATAAATGTAGAAAAATTATAATAATTGGCCAAAATGGCTATATGCAAATGAATAAATTTTTTATATGGGAATGATGTAATTAGATAGTTAATTGCTCACAATATCCCTTTTCTCTCTTATACCTCAAATATTTTCACACCTCGACAAAAACTTCCGTCGATTTTAATTGTAGCTAGCATTAAAATTATTAGCAAAAATACTTAATTACGCAACTTAAAATTAGTAAAGGACAAGTTGAATACACACAATTTTACATTATATGCAATGTAGATTACTTTGAGTTTAATAGCTTTTTGAGCTTAATATGCATCCCTTATAAAAAAACCTATAAATAACCTCTATATATAACTCACATCAAGTTTTGTTTTGATCTCAATAGCTACTGGATTGATACTGACTATTTTACCAAGGCCAATGTCCAAGATACTTGACATGAATGTTGTACACAGTATTCAAATTATTTTATTTATCATGTTGAACATGGCAATTCCAATAACATTCATATTTAATATAAAAAAACATCACATAATTGCAAAATGTTCTCCTGTAATATTTGTTTCATAAAATGACGTCACAATATTTACAACTGCTACCTACTTGGTGCAGTGTATGTATTAATGTAATATATTTTTGTAATTTTTCGTTATTTTAATAAACCGGTATGAATTACCAAAGGAGTTAGATATGTATAGTATTTTAGATATTTTTTTACTGACGTTTCTAATTAAATCGTCCACCAAATCATCTCACTTATTGTATAACGACATTTGTCGACTTGTTCATTCATGCATTATTTTTGTAGGCTTTTCGAAAAATAAAACGGCAATACGACTTTGTCGTTTATAGTGTTCTTCACGATTTTACTTTCCAAATCATGTATAGTTTACAATCTTAGTAAAATTGACCACTGATGTAAAACATGAATTATGTAATTCTGTACAGTTTTGTATAAGGGAACAAAAATTCAATATTGCTTCATACGAGTACTGCATTGCACTCGGGATTCTAGTGAAAATCAATGTTCAAATTATATAATTCATTAATGGTAACAATAATCAATACTGTGTGTGGTAACAATTCTATGACATACAGATTTACAAGTAAATATTTCTTATGATAATTCAATCTTGATATACTGTAAATGTGTGATACTCTCATAGTAGTCGATTTTTTTTTAATTCTTCTGTCATCTGCACTACTCTCATAGTGTAGTAACTGTATTGAGGTGAAGAAGAATTGAAACAATTTGTATTGAGGAAGTATTACACAATTACACCACAGAAAGCTAATTAGTAACACCAATAGTCTATGGTTAGATAAAATAAAATACATAGTGATAAAAAGAGCCCCCTAGATGATGTTCGAGTAGCATTTGTATAATTAGACATTGTCGTTTTATAACAAAAACATAAAATGGAGCCATTTGAAACAACATACAACATTTAATAAATAAATAAACAGAAGAGCGTGTTGATAGGTCGAATCTCCGACAGTTTGTAGTTATAATGAAATTTTCTATTTTAATATATTATTAAAGCGTAAGAGTAGGGAGGTGTGCTGTGAAACAAATATGTAAATATGTCCGATGCGTGGTTTGGATCGTGTATTACTCATTTTTTATTGATATATTATTCCATTTTTAATCTTATTTCTGTGGACTGAGTTCGGAAAAATCAAAAATCCTTAATCAATTTTTCGTATTGAACAAATTATCAGAAATCAGATTGTAAATTATTTTTTGTTGCTTAGTATCTAATTATTTTTTGTATTGTCAAGTGATGGTAGGCAATTTGTACAGGTTTTGTATGTAATGCGCGTGCGCAACGCCGCGGCGGTTTGCATAACTTATTTAATTGTAGACGCGGCCTGCCCGCCACTTAACTGATTATGCCTAGTTGAATATGAAATGTTTTAAATGTGTTACAGCATTTGAGAATATTTAATGATGTTGTATATAGTTTATTATTTTGTTTTGTAAAACGACATTTTGTACATATACTCGATGTAGTATCGAATACCGTTATTTGCCCACATTGCCGTATAATGGAGCACGTTTTAAAGAAACCACTCGTAATATTTTGTACAGTTGTTAAGCGAGATTCGTAGTTGAATGGATTATTTTAAGGATTTCGTTTTTTTGACTTTTTTGTTATTGTGAATTTGTCAATTTTTTTAGGGAATTGGGATCGTACTGTACATAGACCTCACCATTTTGTCATATATTAGTCGTAAGCGGTCAAATCTGATGATTGATGTGGAAATCAAATTTTCTAAATGGAGCAATCATTAGAAATTCGTAAAACAAAATTAGTGTAATACTTGATATTAATATAACTTTATAAATAACTGTGAAAATAGGTAATAATAATTATGAATAAAATATTACATATTTAAATAGCATTGTTTCATTTTGTGGTTAATCAAACTTGTTGAATTCTAGTTGAGCTTTAGTAAGAACGAATTCGACACCAAGATAAGAAATTAAAGCCGTTGGTTTTAATGAGATGATCACATGGCATGGCATTGAAAGCAAGTCTATTGAAGACTACTCGACACAGAGCCGTAACAGCCATATTATGTCAGAGTGCAGTGCTGCCGCGATACGCGCGTGCCCGCGTGCCTAAATACCAACAGAGAGGCGACCCGCGACGGTGCGGCGCAATAGGAGCGTCTATGAGGTGCCTACCAAAGAGTATAATAAGTATAGGGCCTTTTTGCCAATAAACATAATATAATTTGGGCCTCTCAGACCCTCAGATCAAACCTCAAACTTTAGACCAAGAACAATTCCCACCTTGTCTCTTAAATTCAGCAAAATATATGGCGTACATATCTTGCGCGAGGAATTTTTATACGTATTTTAAGTCGTCTACATTTTGAAATTCATCATCAGCCTATAAATGCTCACTGCTGAACAAAGCCTCTTCTCACACGGAGGTTTGAGCAATTATCACCACGCTCGCTCAATGCGGGTTGGCGATTACAAACTTATAATTAGAAATTATAAGCCCAGGTTTCCTCACGATGTTTTCCTTCACCGTTTGTCAGTGGTGTACTGGTGTCTAGATAATTTTAGAAATCGGAAAAAGTCACATTGCTACTTACCGTCGGTAAGTTTCGAACCCGCACCCTCATGCATGAGAAGCTGGCGTCTTAAACCTCCGGCCCACCACGGCTATTTGAAATTTTTGAAATTGGTTTATTAAAACTATTTGTTGGTTTCTCATTTGCGAAGGAGTAAGTGCGCCTCTTGAAGGTGGACGCCCTCTGTCCCATCTTGGGGGCATTTATACTATCACTGCGAGGACCGCCCGGAGGACACAGTGGAGCAAAGTGATGTGCCCTGCGTAGGCTGAGCACCGCCGTGTCCTCAGGGATGTGAACGGCGACGGCGATCTCTCGCGTCTTGCTTTAGTTCAGACTAAGGTACGGAGCGACTGGAAGGCCGTCTCCCCCTTCTGCAAAGCAGTCATGCTAGCTACCGAGGTGGCAGGGCGCGTGAGGGATCGAATCTCCTCACCCCCTAGCCGTCGCAATAGACACTGGGCGTAGTGGATCGCGAGACGATCTCCGGCCACCGTTAGCACCGGTTTGCTCCTGCAACCTAAACATGGGCGTTGACATTAGTCAAGGGCCTGTGTAATTTCCAAAAACATTGTCATTTTCCATAAAAGATCTTGTAAAAAATATTAAACCTATTTATTTAAAATGTTTAGGTGTCGACGAATCTTGCTATGAGTACAACGAAACGTAATTCTGTTGATAGTCAAACTGACATTGACGTTGGTAAAATGATATGACATTGTCATTAATGTCATTTCATTCTCATTGATATTTTGAAGATCGTAATTTTGGAATGGGTGTATATTTTCCTTTCGCGATTTCTGTGTAAATAAAACGTTGAATACAAATAAGATATGTTTATTTGTAAACAACATATATCTCTTGATTCTTGTAGAACAAACTAAGGTGCTAAACGTGACTAATAGCTCACAGTAACTACATTTGTATGGTCAGTGTTCGTATGAATATTTATAAATGACAATGAAAATAAACGAAAAGAATTTGTGCGCTTTCGCGTCGTCTGCGACGCCGGTGGACCGCGACGGGTGGCTAGACATGCGAGGCGAAGTCGGAAAAAGTTACCAGAAACGATGGTTCGTGTTGAAAGGCAACCTCCTGTTTTATTTCGACAAGAAAGGTGACAAGGAACCAGTCGGTGTGATCATTCTGGAAGGGTGTACCATAGGTGGGAAACGAATACTTTTTATTTATTGTACACAATACTAGCTATAAAATTGATGATATTGTCTATTTATTGACTTGCATCTAAAGGACTTTTTCCTAATGATAAGTGAATGTGTATAACTAAGTGATATGAATATTATATGTGGTCATTAGTTTCGTTTCAAGGAAAAACTGTTTTAAATACCCTCATGTGTATTATGTGTAACTGATATTTATATAAATCCTTATCTATTATGCTTATCAAAGTGCCCTTGTGTGCGCCTCTCTAGTGGTTTGCTAAATAGTATCTAAATATAAAAAATCTCATTATTAGTTTGTAGGTAAATAATTTATAATATTTTCTTTATTTGTCTATGTCTATTTTTCTTGGAAAATTTCATTTTTATCTGTGCAGTACTTTTTACTTCTGTGTAACTATGGTAACAGGCATCAAACAAATTAGATCTACCCTAGCTCGACTAGAGATAAGTGTTGTTATTCCAAGGGCCTAATTAAATCTTTGATTTTGAAGGTATTTGTTTTGAAAACACTTCTCTTTAAACTGTCAAACACCAAGCGGTCACCGGTGACCGCAACTTATTGTTCTATAATTGTGTCTATAATGACGGTACTCAACGAGTTAATCAACAAATCCAATTTTTTTTCTGTATTTAACCCGTTGAAATCCACCCCCTAAATTTGGTCATACAAAAGTAGTCTCTAAACATTACAAATAAGGTCTATAATGTAATGTAATATTAGTGGAAAGCGGTCACCGGTGACCGCTTGGTAATTTATGGGTTAAGCCTTATACAATTGTAATTCATCATTATATTTATTTGGAAAGACAAACAGACACATTACATATAGTACACATAAGTTTATAGTTCATACAACTAACAATGTTTTTCACAGAATATCATGGAGTGAAGTAATACAAAATTCATAATTATTTGTTTATATTGATAGTAGTGCAGTCTCTGTAATAGTGACAGGACTGGTTTATAGTCATAGACTAACGATCTAAACATACAAAATGTAAAACAGCACATCTATTGAGAACTTAATAAGTGCCTGATCATAGCTTTGATTATTTTATACATTTCTTTTGCATTCAACAAATACAAGACATAATATTTAACCAGTGTTTCCATGATTACAAAAAATCCACAACTTTTGTTTATTTTTGTTTCACAAAAGCAGTCTCTAAACATCGGAAATAAAGTCTACAATGGAGTAAGTGGGGACTTGGCAGTGACACAATCATCTTTCTTATTTTTTCAGAGTTGACAGAAGAAGAAGCATACAGTTTTAAGATATCCTTCCAGTGCGACGGTGGGCGCACTTACTACTTGTGCACCAACTCACAGGCCTCCATGGAAGCTTGGATGAAAGCTCTAGCCTGCGCCAGTTATGACTACATGAAGCTCATGGTGTCTGATCTGCAGAGGCAGTTGGATGAAGCACAAGGTACATAATAAATTTTCTATGATTATTCTTTATGATTCTTTTAAATTGCAATCTCCAACCCTACTGCTATGAGTAGAGATTATGGCGAACATCTCTATTGTAGAGGAGGCCACTGGACTTCTAATGGTTGTTGATTGGGCTCGATGCCATTGCAGCGGTAAGTCCCCTCTTTGAGGAGTGGCTTGAGTGATCCTACGGCGTCCTCACCTACCGCCTAACGCAGGTCCTCACCGGACATGAAGTTTCGGGAGGTACCTGTGTCTGATGGGGAGGGAGGGAACGCCCGGGTGTCATTACTGCGAGGACCGCCCTGAGGACACGGTGGAACACACAGTAGGGGAGTCGCTTTCCGCGCGCGCCTCGAAGAGCCATCACAGATGGGGCCCAACAGGGCCGATGCCGATTCCGAGTCGCGGAGAACCTAACGGGTTACCGGGGCTCTGACTCGAAGTGCAGGAGAAGGAACGGGGTGGTTTTTAGTCAGTAAGAGTCTGACACTTCCTCCGCCTCAACCAGGCGGGAGCAGTCATTCGATGACCTTCCCTCCTTACAAAAAAAAAATGGTATTTGATAATGACCCGAAACCTTAATTATTAGCTCAGCAAGCAACAACCTAGTTTTATTTTGATAAATTATTATACAATGTTAAAAATAAATAAAACTTAAAATCTTCTTGGTTCCTCTCAAGTCCTCCAAGACCTCGATTGAAAAACTAATCTCAAATGCAACTTTCAGCGGAAGCAGCAGCTGAAGCAGCACTCGTAACAATAACTCCACCGGAAGAGGAACCTAAAGTACCTCCGAGAGGGCAGAGGTACAACCCCTTCAACAGAGTCCCAGACGGAGAGAGTAAAGCTGTTCAGGGCAGTAGACATCGTGAGTATTTCATATTATGAATTATTCGATATTTAAAACTGTATTTAAAAAATGGTTTTGTTTTAATCCAATCAACCGACCCAGTGTAAAATAAATAAAGTTGTTTTAAATGCGGATTTGTTTAATGTAGCCTATCTCCAGAAGAAAAATTTAGAGGTTTTAGTTAGACATTCTAATATGTTTTTACATGTCGAAGTTGATATTAGATCGATTATAAAAAATTGAACTAACGACCAAAACCTTTTTTTAAAAAACTCATAATTACTATAGACCCTAACTATAATAAAACTTATTTTTCAGACAAAGAGAACATGAGACCAGACATGCCTCGCAAAAGGGTACCGTTTCGAGACATCCACACAGCCTACGGACGTAAAATATTAGCAGATAGAAGCGAGTGGCGGGCCAAACTGAGCAAACAGAAAGAGGACACATCGAAACCTTTAATACAATTCTAATAAGGTATAATTTCGTTTAGCAATTTTCTAAAGCCGAGCAATATGATAAAGGAGGTTTTCTGCCTATCACTTAGTGAGATTGTATTGTTATATTGTTCTAAAGCCTTGGGTACACTATTAGAAGTACTTAGGTACGCTTATTTAGTTTTAAAATAGCGATGTTTGTGTTTAAGTTGCTTTATATTTAAAAATAGTATCTTTTAATGAAGAAAATAAATTATTGCTAATAAAATAAATAATAATTAAAATGAAATAGAGATGTTCCTGACCAACCTAGTTAGTTTAAAATTAAGTACAGTAATATTAAATTGTCAAACACCGCGAGGACACCGGTGACCGCAACCTATTGTTCTTTAATTGTGTCTATAATGACGATACTCAACGAGTTAATCTCCCTTTAATTCAAAATTGTAATCTATTTCTTTATTATAAAAATAGATTTTTCTTTCTATCTACATACATTTTATTATGCCAACAGTTTCACTGAGTTTAAGAGTTGTATTTTGTATCTATTATGAATTTAAAAGATAATACTGTAAAATCAGTGCAGTCTTCTATAAACATGTGATATCTATCGGAACTATCTAAAAGTTTATGTTAGTAGGTACACCTCTTCCTAACCTATAGACCAATGTCAGGCGAGATGTTATTTTATTATAATAGAGACATAGTCAGTATTACCATGAACAAATATTTTGTAGTTTTGTCATTTAGCATTAATTAAATGTATTTATCATTTACCGAACCGAGCACCTCTTTGTGTGATCCACAAATTGTTGTTCCAGGTCTGGGTGTCATGTGTATGTGAACTTGTATGTTTGTAAACGCACCCACGATACAGGAGAAAATCCTAGTGCCCACACTAGATTTCATTCATATCAAAGTTTTTATTATTTCAACCTTTCTTTATGGGGGTTAGATTCCCGAGACCGTGTGTTAATTAATTATTATTATTCTCCATAAATGTTTATCTACAACTATTCAAAGGATTGGCCACAGAAAGCTTTAAGAAGAGAGGAAGGAGGGTAGGGAGGCCTTCGCCCTGCGACGATGACCATAGCTAAAAATAAAATATATAACTAGAAATGTCAAGGTGGTAGCAATTAGATTTTGTACCAAGTAAGTTTATTTGGCGGTGGGACCGTCTCATTTGTAATAGGATTACTGAAATCTGAAACCTATGATGACATTGACATTCAATCCAAGTGCTTCGGTCAAGGTTCTATAAGGTTCGGGTAATTTCAACCTTGAGCTACATTGTTATTATTTACACTTATGTACTGGTTGTACGGTCAACGGTCAAAAGTCCACTGCCACCGTAAGACTACTATCGGTTGCGCTGTAGCGCTTATACACGCATGCACACGCATATTTTTATCCGTGTACGTACGCACGCGTTTTTATGCATACTAATGTTACTTACGCATTGCCGTGTGAACATCACTCACGGTGGCAGTGGACTTTTGACCTTTAATTGTACATATACCTTCATCTTCGCTGATCCTATGGGAAAATTCATGGGTGGCTCCCCGTCCGACCAAAAACAGACCCGAGCGTACTGCGCGTCGCGTTCCGCGCGCGCTTCAAAGAGCCATCAGACCACCACAGATGGGGCCCAATAGGGCCGATGCCGATTCGGAGTCGCGGAGAACCTAACGGGTAACCGGGGCTCCGGCTCGACGTGCAGTAGAAGGAACGGGGTGGTGTTTAGTCAGTAAGAGTCTGACACTCAATGATTTTACACCCTTAAAAAAAAAGAATTGGAAAATTCAATGCGTAATGTTTATTATAAAGTAATTATTCTATCAACTGTATCTATAAGTATTATGAAATGCTTCAACATATTTTTCTGCTACTTTAACATACCTCTGCCAAATACTATTCAACTAAAATCAACGATTTGTATCGGACCATCAGTAGAATGTAAAAAAAGAGAAATATTTTTGTATGTAAGTTACGTAACATACTGTTAACTGTTGTTACTAAGTGTATGTTATGGGCTCTGGAGCTTTTATAACACGTTTTTATAATAACTATCGTGAGACATACAAAATTAACTAAAACATCGCGGGTTACTCACGTGAATTACTGAGAAAAGCTCTACTAGTTTCAAACCACAGAGGGGTTCTTCCTCATCAGTAGGCTGCGCGACATCGCCGCGACCACGCACGCTACTCATAAGGAAGAACCCCTATGTGGTTCGAAACTAGTAGAGCTTTTCTCAGTAATTCACGTGAGTAACCCGCGATGTTTTAGTTAATTTTTATAACATGTTGTGTATTATTGAATTCACTATTAAAATTGCATAGTACATCATTACGAACAAGTTAGTGATTGTTTGCGTTATTTATGTCGCAATACTCAAACGTCACTCAATTTTAAGTCGTGCTTAAGTATAGTTCTGTCTCTACAAATTCTTTGTAAAAAGACAGAGATGGCACGATATTTAAGTACAACCTAAAGTTGAGTAGCCTTTCAGTAAACGAGCAATAAACTTTAATTTATTTTTAAAGTAATCTTCGAATAGTATCTTGTATAATTTGTAACTTATAATGAAAATTGACTGTAAGGCTAGCAATCTATATAATAAATAGATTATTCGTTTTGACCGCAACAACAAACGAAAGCTTGCCAACTATGATCCATTAATGTCTGCTTATGCTGAAAGTGGCGGTCAAAAAGTAACACCTAACTTGTTTTGTTGTTGTCGAGCCTTTGTGGGATATTTAAGTGATGATATTGTATTGTTTAATTATATAATTAAATGTACTCGCCATCTGTACAAGCTGACTGTAATTAATGTTGATTGTTCATTTAATTAGGTTAATTCATTATGTTTGTAGTATTATGCGACATTCATCACCATTTAGGCTATGATTTATGTGTATTGTAAATAGTTTCGTATGTTTAGAACTTGTATTTCAGTTTGTAATAATTATGGCAAATTAAATAAAGCTTTATTTTATCATAGAAGTAAAGTTTATTTTTAACATCCCACCATTCCCACACAAATTGACAAAAACTTCGTTCACCATTTTGTTTTTTGATCATTTCTTACAAAGTAGATAAAAGACTTCATAACATAATAAATGTAGTAAGAAATGTTAAAAAAATGGGCTAGATGCAGATTTTGTTCAATAATTTATTTATTTTATTTCTACAGAAAGCTCGACAGCTTATTTACTGTACATGCATGGCATAGAATCTTTAGCTTTAAGCCAATTACAGAGTTTTTCAGCTTGCGATAAGTAAAAACAGGAGAGAGAAGAACATAGTATAAATTAATAAAAAAAATAAGGAATATTATACAACCAACTATAGTTAGTTGGTTGATTACTTCATATTTAGGGCCGATCCTTCCATAAACAGGCCACTCCCATCTGCGGAAAAAAAATTGACAGTAGACACCTATAGTATGGAAGTGCTGTAGAATATATTGAAAATTACTAAATCATACTTATTGAGCCAGTCACTGGCCGCTCCCAAGCTTCCCTCCTCCACCACACCATGGTAGAAGAGGACAACCTGAGAGAGAGCACAAAAATAACAATAAGTAAGATTTAAATAATAATGCTATAAGTAAGAATCACATCCTAGTGAGTATTTGTACAAGCGAATTATGAAAGGATGCCTTTGACAAATGAAATATATCCATACTTTATTTTTTTGGGCCTTTTTTGAAAGTGCCAACGAAAAAAATGCTACGTATCGTTAGAATTAGCCATTTGAGGCAATAGTTATTATGGCGTAAAAGTTGTACAATCCAAGATGACGAAGTTATACCAGTGCAAAGATTCATCGTTTTCATACATTTATTGCTTTCTGAAGGTGCTCGGAAACGCGAAATAATCATCGATATTGCTAGAATAAAGAATCTAGGGCAATTGGGATGATGATAATTTTTTTTTTGATGCGGTACGTAGTTTGCCGCGTCAGCTAGTAAACATTATTTGAGGAGACCAGACGGACTACAATAATACATATAATGTACTACGGACATAGGCAAGGTACAGTCTTGAGACTATGAAGGTTTCTGAATGGTTTAGTACATGTGCGCATTACAAATCCAAGATTACGAGAGGGTTTGTAAACTAGTTATGTTTCTGCTACCGATAGATAGTGCAATTGGAAACTATAATCATTTTACTAGTTTCTTATAATTAAAATTATATTATAACTCTTAAAATCTAACTAACCTAAGTGCGAATGCGTTCAATGTTGGAACAACACTGCGTTCTTTTTTTATGAGATAAGTCGGTAAACGGGCAGACGGATCACCTGATGGTAAGCACGAAAGAGCGTCGCGTCGCCCATGGACACTCTAAACACCAACTTACAAGTGCGTTACCGGCCTTTTGGAAATTAGGAGTTTGAGGATTGTGGGGGATTCGGGTTTTGGGGAGACTGGGGAAGGGGGTAATTGGGCCTCCGGTAACCTCACTCACACGATGAAACACAACGCAAGCGTTGTTTCACGTCTGTTTTCTGTGAGCCGGTCCATTCGTGTCCATCTTAAAATTATTTATTATAAAATTAGTATTGAGGTTAAATCTTGTTGGGTGATCGATGATGTAGCGATTCGTAGCTGGGCACAAGGCGGCGACAAGAGGAGACGACTCAGCAGTTCGAATGTTGCAATATTCCGTAGAACTTTCGTTGCATCAAAGTATGTAGGTGTAATGTCCTGATTCAGCAGATATGGGCCTGCTGACACGGCGTTGATCACGGTGTAGGTAGGTTTCGGCACCGATACGTAACATACTATACTGTCTATATATATGTTGAGAAAATAGCAATTTGGAGGCTAGAGGCTAACAACACACCAAGATCTCTAATAAGAATGCGTTGTTGAAATGTAAATCGTTGGCCGAGTGATCGTAAGTGCGACTGCCGGGTAAGCGGTCTCAGGTTCGATTCCCGGGAAGGGTAAAGTATTACTGGGTTTTTTAAAAAAATATCTCAGTAGTAAGCTCGGAGTCTGCAATTGTGCCCGGTATATGGCAATAGGCTCACTCCTAGTTGTTACATAGGACTCTTACAGAAATAGTGAAAAGTGAGTGTTACATTATACAGTGGCATTAAGTGCCGTAATGTGCACCTTTCCTCTGTCTACCCCTTCGGGGATGAAAGCGTGATGTTATGATGATAAGGCACTTTAGTACGAAAGTTAAAAGTTCAACCAACAGAAATGAAATGTCATTTATTTACAGGTATTCCATGCCTGCCGAGATTATGTGAATATAAATATTATTATCATAAAGTATGGGGTTGTCGAGACAATCACACTTCAAATGTTGGTCATTAACGTTATGAAACTCTTAATTTAGTTAATTTCTCCTTCAAAAAC